TCACCAAAAAAATAAATAGAAGGGATATAATTGGTCTAGTTAGAAGCACAGTTCTTGTCTCTTCCTTTCTTCCCTTTTTGATTTTCTCCAAATATAATAACAATAGTGAATGAGGCCCTAGGATAGAGAGAAATTGAGAGCTTGTACTCCTTTTATTCTATCTATAAGGTAAAAGTGGAAGAAATTTTTTGGTCTTGTTTACAAGATAGGAAGAAAATTTTTTCATATGAATGGACGATTCTACCTTTCATTTAATATTGTGTTGGTTTTATTCTTATGATATATAATTATTAAATAAGAATAAAGTTGAAAAATTATTAAATCTTAAATAAAAATTAATGAAATTTAAAGTATGTATTGATTTATATGAAACATGTTAAAATTGATTTATAAATAGAACCAAAAAAGTATTTTACATAAGTATGATTCACTCACCCTATTTATATTTATAAGACTTTATTTGTAAACTATAAATGGAGTCTTAATAATTAAGACAGGAAGTAATATAATTTAATGTTTTCTGAATGGGATCAATGATCGTCCCTATGAAACTTGTGCTTAAAATATTTATAAACTTTTTGTGATTGAATTGAATATGCTTAAATTATGTGTGGAGGCGACCCTCCTAATCTTGGGAAGTATCGGTCCATCCATGTATGCGCCTCCCCTGTAAATACGCTCATTCACAAAGCTCCTTTTGTTATGACTTATGATACGGATTTAAACTCGAAATTCCATGTTTATCATTTAAGCAAATAAGCAGATCAACACCTGTCGGTAAAATCGAAAGCTTTTTTTATAATGATGATTAAATAAATATTCACGTGTCTTATTACATAGAGTAAGAAGCATCGTGAAGTTAAAATTACAAGAGACTAAACAACATAATTAATATAACAATAAAATGAGCGATGTTGCACATATTTGTGACCTTTTCAAGTACGGAACATTTCATGACCGAAAATGAACTCCGATAAGAGTGGTTCATAAAAACCGAACTAAAACACACAATGAGAACTAACCAAAAAATACGATATATCCTGATGGCTAAATTAACTCCTCCAAAAGCGGATCCAGAGACGACTTACTGTGAGGTTGGAACTTTAAAAAATTGAAAGAAACAAGGGGGAGCTAAAATTTATTTTATTTTTCTATAGAGGAAATTCATCAACTCTTCATGACCAACTCAAGACAAGTTTACGGATACGTGTACAAGTGCTTCAGAATCTGATTTCGGATGCTACCTTTAAAATTCTACATGGCGAAATAAAGACGGCATGGTTCATGCTTCACTCAGACAGATTTATAATAACTTTGAAACTATGAAGGTATAATACAACCACATAAGCTTAAATCTCGCTCTGATTACCAATATCAACAAACCTGAACCAGCACAATCACGCTATCCTGAAAATTACAAAAATATAACTACCCAGTAAAGAGACAATAAGAGGCGGGGGAATCCACCTATACAATCACACAACCACTCTCCAATTAATGCGGTTAGCCCGAGTTAATTTGTCTTCCTGCCTTTGTAGCCGATCTCTCTCTAACAAGAGGATACAACAGTTTTGTCAGAAGCATACCGATTCCTCCTTGGATTTCCTTCGTGCTCCCCAAATTCATGGTCAATATCAGTAACAATGGTCTCGGCATGCCAGTTACAAACTTATAAGCAATGGAACCAAGAGACAGCATAAAAACCAAAACAGAGAAAGGACAGATGAATGCCTATGAAAGTCTAGTCCCCAGGGACACTTCCATAGAAGACCATATGTCATTGCGTGCTGCGCGTTAATCCTCCTCTTGTTGCAGCTCTGGACACATAAACTCCCCATCAGTATCACAATAATTTAACATGCTTCACGCTTCGCTATCTTGTCTTAAAATATATACCCAGTAACGATTCGACTTTGTCAAGCAAGCATAATTAATCTAGCAGCAAAAAACGTACTTAGGTTTAAAGACAATTATTATGTTCAACTATGATTATTAATTATTCGTTCCTGATAACTCATGACTAACTATTATGCAATACACAAATAATTGCCAATGCATTAGGGAATATAGATTGGACCGTACTGATGAATGCCATCGCATGTATTTTACAGTAACAAGAGATAGTCTACATACTTGACTTCTGAGGACTCAGAGCATTGCAATTTGCAGTAATCAGATTCCATGAGTGATATTTGCTAATAATAAGTACTATGATTTTTAGAATATCAGGCTCTCAAAATGAAATTGGTGATGATATTATCAGGAGAAGGAAAGAATGCGGCAGACAAGGAGTACAAGTCCAAAAAAAGGGACAGTTGAAATACATATCAACTAAGATTCAACCATGCGGGCAACAAACAGGGCTCCAGGGAAGCCAGCAAAGAACAAGAGGCAGCATGAGTTTATTAGAGTGGATAGCCAGAAGACCTGAATCAAAATCATGACAGGTGCAGTGCAGGATAGTCCATGTAACTATTAATATACAATAGAATGGCTATATCGAAGTCTGAAGTGCTTAATCAAAATACAGGAAATGTTCGGATGAGCTTTTAGAAGTGATTTTATGATATACGAGGTAAGCATGTGAGAGGAATTTTGTCTCGACTTGATGAAGCATTTTTTTTTTTAAATTGATTTTCAGGGGCATCTAAACTCCCCCAGATGAGGACCATTTATTACTATTTCTGTTCTCTTTACTGTCTCATGTGCGTTTTAGTCAAAAAGTATGCCAAATGTACAAGTGTAATGCATAACAGCTGAAGCCATAAGACACCTAGAATGAAGAATAAGCAAATATCATAGGAAGACCCAGACTTGAGCAGTTATACATGGAATTTCTATTGTGTGCACAGAAAAGACTCTGCCGATTAGTTGTTGAGGCCTTTTCTTTTGCAATCTAGATATGCGCATACAATATGTTAAAGGTTGAGGCCCTTTAGCAGTTTAGATTTCACTATCAAAACAAGAGGCCTGGGTCAAAAACCAAATCTAAAAAGTCTATGTTAGATAGTAATCTATGAGAGGCATTCAACACAGAAAAATCAGAAATACTACTACTTCGTATCCTGGACCAAAGAGCCTAACAAAATATTCCTAGAAGGAAATGCGAAATCAGGAATAGAACAAATTCATAAGATCGAAAAAGCTCCTGGCCAACCAATAACCAACAAAAAATCAAGACATCAAATTCTGTTGAATAAAATGAGCGATGACTGAAACTTCACGCAAGAAAATGTTTCAAATAAGTACCTTCCAGAAATCAACTGCTGCTGAGCACTATTTACAGGGCCCTTTGCATTACCAAACCTCTTTGCTCTGTTCTCTTGTTCTTTTTCCACACGCATAGCTGCTACCTCCTTCTCCATGACTGCTACTCTCTTCTCTTCTCATCTTTTTGGCCTCAACTTCCATGGCTTTGGTTAATGTATCTACCTTCTTTGCTAACATCTGAAAGACAATGACAATTGGCAACAATTGGCTAAGACTATGGATTGAAAATTAAGAGAATTAAAGAAGTCAACGATGGTTAAACAAAACAAAAAGTAAAGAAACTATTGACCTCAATGGCATCATCTTTATCTTTAAGGTTTTGATCTTTCTCGAGACCAGCTTTCCTCAAGGCTAAGACCTCTTTCTGCAGCAGGTCGTACAAAACACCAGGAACGCTATCCTCTGTCTCTACTGTGGGGAACTCGCTAGGCTTATCATCTGAATTCCCTTTCCAGTTGTTGTTTTCCTTAACGTCTTTGGTTCCTTCACAAGACTGATTGAATGGATAACTAGGAGGAGTCCCATTTAGCAAAAGCTTGCCCCTTTCCAGTGACCTTGTGCCACCATCAAAAGATTTAGATGTGCCTTTAGCATGCTTTAGCACTGAGCTAGAGCTAGAAGATCTCATTTGAAAGGATGGCGATCTCTGGATAAAAACCCATTAGATGTTAGTTTAGACATGTTATCAGCTCCACCGAGGGATTGACGTCGAGAAGGTCCATTGCTAGCACTTCTTCCCTCTGAGGTACCGCGATTACTACTGTTAGAAGTTCCTCTCAAAGTCTCCTCCACACCACTTTAAGCCGTAAATGATACTTATCCTGAAAATTACAAAACGTTTACCTTTGAATACTGGCAGAATTAATCTACTAGGCAAATACAATGGCTGAAGGACCAGATAATTACTTTCAACTGTGCTTCAGACCTGGCAGCACGCTCAGCTATAGCAAGCTTCTCACGAAGTTGCTGCATCTCTCCCTATTGTAAATGGAGTCCAGCAATTAGTGATGTTATTTAAATGAAGTTAAACGCAGAAGAAACTTTGTACCAAAAAATAAGGAAGTCTAAGCTCAAAAATCTCCAAAACTAGGTAGAACAGCAAAGCAAAACAAAATTCACCTGCAAGAATCTTCTCTCTTCAAGCCACTGTTTGACAGGCATCACTTTGTCATTGGAATCTTTCCATTCATTTGCTACAACCACAGCAACTCTGTTTGCTGTTACCTTGGCACGGGCCAACTCCCGATCAAGAGTTTTCCTTTCCTCCTGAAGAATGTCAAGCAATCCGAGCAACAGTTAATATGCTCTTAGCAAGACAATATGAAAATTAAAGCAAAGAGTAATGTCACTGGAGATTCCGGCCGGTTACATTCATTTCTTGAAATTTCCGTTGATAGTCCCTCACAGCATTAGCAGCTGCACCACCTGCAAGGACAGCCTCTTCAAGCTCCCTAACAGTTTGAGTAAGCTTTTCAACCTCTGCCACCTTCTGTCTATGCATTTTGTCCAGAATTTTATTTTCTTCCTGAGATAGGTGACAACAAAACCAAGCATAATAAGTTGAGTATTTACGATCTGATGTAGTAGGGGGCGACAACATCAAACGATATGGAAAAGTACCTGGCAAATCTCAATTTGTTTAACAAGTTCTTGATTTTTATTTTGAAGGTCATCCACCATAGAGGCCTTAGCCAAGGCAACCTGAACAGTCCTCTCTGCTTCAAGTAGTGCAGCTTCTTTAGATTTTGTAAGACGATCTAAAGCCTTGTTATCTTCTTGAAGTTTAGCAATCTACAAGGAATAAATAGAGGGAATTGACAAATAGCCTATAATAAAATGCCCCCTCCAACAGAGTTCACCAAAAGCTATTATTACAAAATTCACATGAACAAGTTATTACCTCCTGCCGAGCAAGCTTAAGTTCAGCCTCCAGAGGTGCAAGAATGGCTTCTATTGGAGGCATATCATCATCCTTCTGAGCAGCATGGACCCTCCTAAGAGTTGCTTCAGCTGCGAACTGAGCTGCCATTGATGCTTTTTTCTCATCATTGATTTTCTTTATTTCTAGATTCTGTAACACATGTTCAATTTAGTAAACATATCATAGAGAACTAAGGCAAGAAACTCATCACTAAAATTAAAAAAGTCTGAAATGATACTTTGCTTTCCAGTAGAGATTCTGTTAATTTCAGCTTCTCCTCAACCCTTGACAGCTCTTCAGTAAGCTACAGTATAAACCAGGAAAATAGAAACATAAAGTCACATTTAAAGCGATACTGGTGCATATACATGACAATGCAAAGCCATAAGCACAAGACAATTCAACATTTGTAGAGGAATAACTTCTAACTTGCTCAAATACCTAGATGAAAACAATGCAAAGTATGATTGAGCCAAAAATGAAATCCTTCTAACTTGCTCAAATAACTAGATGGAAACAATGCAAAGTATGATTGAGCCAAAAATGAAATCCTTTCAACTTTCACCTAGAAGGTTTAAATAACAAGCACTCGGAAATCCCCATCTCCATCCTAACTACAATCACTAGATAAACATAAGGCAAAAGGGCAAGTTCCATATCTCTACGTACGATCACATCAAACGAATACAATAACCTTTTTACACTTCCAAAAAAGGCATTGCCACCTAGTATTGATATATGAAAGACACAGAAAAGAACATTAACAGAAACACAAGACCAACAGTATCAAACATGTCCCTGTGATTAAGAGTGCGTATACAGAATCTCATGAAAGAAAAAATGTTCTTCATAAGTAATGAAATAAATTAGGAGCATATTTGGTCACTTTATCCGACTGAAAAGTAGAATAAGAATTCTCAGACAATTAATACGTTAATGCAAGGCTTGAGAGCAGCAACCATTTCATTAGCAAACATTGGATAACTCACAAAATAGCTTCTTTGGCATGCTCATTACTGACTAATGGCTTTTCTACATGGTCAAGGCAACACAGCCTACTTAAGCTTAACAGGACGAATTGACTTCAGACTACTATCAAACCAAAATGTTCTTGCCCGCCTTAAGCCAGCTAGAGGCTTTACTGCTGACACTAGATGGGAAGAATTCGTGGCAGTCTTCCACAAAAACAGTAATTCGCGGACAATTTTAACTTACGGAGTAGCTAAAAGTTTACTTCACATCGAAAGCTACAAAATGAAAGAAAAGGCAAAAAGATGAGCATACTACATGGTGCAATCCACGTCACTCGAACAAAAATAAGAGCTTCTATTAAACTGAGAATTCATGGAAATCATTATATGAACAGCAGCAGGTTAAAATAAATTTTGTGAAAAATAGAGGTGACCTCTTCAACGGCCTTTTCTCTTTGCCGTTCAGAGAGCTTCAAGGCTTTGATCTCTGCCTGTGCTTCTGATAATTCCCTATCCTTATCTGCACAGATACACACACAGACACCCCCAATCAACACGGCAAAACACGAAGCAAAATCAGCTCAAAACCCATTGGATCGAATAGCATTTTCGCACCTCTGACTTCATTCTCCAGCCGATTGAGCTCCACTTTCACCGGATCCGACCCGTGCAACAGGTTCAGGAACTCGTCCGCATCCAAGCTCGGCCTCACCGATGCCCGCCTCCGTGACGAACCCTTCCCTTCCTTGAACGATCCCGACACGTCACTGCCGACGGCTGAGAAGGTGTCGGTGTCGCAACCACAGCATCCGCCCTCACCTCATCCGGCGCCACCCCTCCCCCGTCGCCGGAAATATCCGCCATGGCCGATCTAACCGATACCGTTACTACTCTCACTCTCGCATCCAAATGCTCCTACTTCCAAGGATCCCAACGCCAGATCTCAACTCCACAACGTATAGATATACAAATATATATAGCTAGAGACAGAGTAAGACAGCTAGAGAGAGAGAGAGAGAATGCGAGCTTGAAAATGGCGGTTTAAGAAAGAGAAAGTATGAGGGAAATGCCTTTCGTTACGGTTGTTTATCTTTCTAGGATTAAAGCTATAAGAAGAGAGAGAATGAGAGATTATATAAAAATCTCAGTACAGAGTGAAGTTAGTAGAGAGACGCTTTGCTGTCAAGCAGGACAATACGGGGGTGAGACTTGAGAGAGAGAGACAGTGACTTCACAGTAATCTTAGCTGAAAAGACCGTGAAAAGTATAGGATCAACGGGAAGCGTAATGCGCACACCAAGCAACTGACTGCGCATTGCTTGCAACAGTGACTCCCATGGTGTGCGATGAGCACGTTCCGCGCACGCTAGCAAAATGGGATCCTATTACAGCGCAGGACAAACTAAAATGGTCACTGGCTGACTGCAATAACTCCTTAGGGGGGAAAAAAAAAAAGACGCGTAGCCGCGTATGTATTTCCTACCCGTTTTTCCTTTTGGCCGGAATTCCTATCCGGTTTCTTTTAGTAAAAAGCAGGTTAATATTTTTCCTATTAGGTAATACGTCCATGAGTAATTAAAATTAAGCATTTAAGTGATATTACTAACAAACATATAAAAGTCAAATGGTGCTTGGGACACACTTAAAACTCATCTCAGAAGAACATAATAAGCACAGGCATTTCCTATTTAGTTCATTTTAGCATAGAAACTAAAAGCAATTTTTTTATGTGGAGGAACTATATAATTAAATCTTTCGATAAATTTCGTCCATAATTATCAAGAAGTTACTCCCTCATTTCCTAATATGTGATCTTTTTAATTGAACCACGTAAATTATAAAATGAAAAAAAGATAAAAGTCGTTAGCAATCTTAATTTTAATCTCTCTGAAAGAAATGGGAACATATTTTTAAAACTATCATTCTTTAAAGAATTTTCTTTAATTTCTAAAAGAAATTTTGAATCATTTAAATAGATGAGTTTGTTTTGTGACGATGTATCGTATAAATGTTAGTACATTGAAAACCAAAAACGAACTAGCGTCATTTAAAGCACATGAGAGAGTAATTAATGATCATATAAAAGTCAACTACTTGGGTTCATTGACTCGAATTCGATGAGGGATCTGAGAAGTGAGAACAGTAGAAAGAGACATGAAAAGGAAAGTATGAAAAATAAGAAACGATCGAGCAGGGGAAAAGATCCTTGACTTGACAGAGCGAAGTCGTGCTCAACTGAACAGGGATCATGACTTCACGGGATAGTTTTTTTTTTTTTTTTTGGGTGGGTCAGATTGTTCCATGATTAATTAACTTTAACATCGTACATTGACAACACTTACGGATCTAGATACGAGTCAGGCATTGATTATCGATTCATCATTATTTCAATGTTTCAAGGAAAAGATATGATTTAAACCTGGGATCATTGCCAAATCAAAACTTTGTATTCTTATTTTCAGTTAAAAAAAATAGAAATTAATAATGGCTTCAGTAACAGAATTTGCTTGTGTTGAACAGGATGATTCGTGTGTTGGATCATCATAAACATATATTTGCGAGATTATGGATGAGTCAGAAATTTGAATGAACCCATGAATGGTGCGGATGAAGCAGTGAGCAGAAGAACACGGAAGGGGAGAGTGAGGAAGAAAATGAGGTAGCTGACAGTAGAATAATTGCTCCTTCATCTTGCACGGATCAGTGAATAAATGCACGGCCAGTGAACGCAAAACCGGGGAGGAGGAAAGCTGAAGAAGACAGAGTAATTATCAGTGCGTCTAGGGAAATGAGAGACTCTGGCCTTATCAATAAAAGCGGAGCAAGAAGAAAAATGCAGATTTTGACTCTTTTTCTTTTGGACTGAGATTTTGGCTCTGATTAAGAGGAAATCACTCGGGCCGATAAAATGCATGCCCAATCAACGTAAAGTAGTAGACGAAATAGACTGGGCAAATTGATCACATCAGAGCATTTCTCGGTAAGAGGTCTAGGGTTCCTCTCCATCTAATACAAATTACGGTTCCGGTTGTTCCTCATCACTCGCCTTCCGTCAAGTTTTCTCTTCTTACTCTTCTCGCAGGCCATTACTTCAGCTGCTTCTGGTAATCCTGCGGTTTTATTTTACAGCCGTACAACAAAGATGGATCACGAATTTCGAGGAGCGCGGTCGGGATTGATAAAACTTTGATTCAATCTCGGAATGAAGATCATACGAGCAATTCAGTTTGAAATACGACCCTTGTGCTGCTGAGGCAATGAAATTGTTTGTACCTACCTGATACGGTTCTGCATGGGCTAGTCGAATAATGGGCTAGAACTTACTGTTCACTGAATATACATATAGAAGCCATTGAAGCATATGGAAGACCAAAGTTGCCTGAACCTTCTGATGCGGTTTGGAATCAAACCAAGCAGGATGTTCACAGTCAATTTGGAAGATTCCCAAAAGTGAGATCGATGTCATACAAGAATCTCGAGTCCGTTAAATGGATCAAATCTTCTTCTGCTGGAGATGGATACGCAGGTCTCAAAGGCGATGCTGAAAATTACGACATCGCTAAACGTACAGCATTGACGATAGCGGAGAAACTTGATGGCGATCGCAATTACGGACCAGAAGCTATCAAGCATTCAACACCAGACGTTGCACTTACCAGAACGCAATTGTCACAGATGAAGGCGATGACCAAACCGAGAGACGTTTGGGAAGAATCATATTTCATTACGTGCTTCTGGAAGGCTTGTTTGCTGATCCATTATAATGGCTGTGTTTAAACAGGTTGAAAGCTTCTATCGTATAGGAAACATCCCTCTGTTATCTATCGCTTCCTGGTCTAATCGGCCAAAATCTGGCGGAGATAGCCCAAGTCTGCATGCTCGAACGGTCCGACTTCGATGCGTCAGCGCAGTAATGGGAGATCCGTTTTGCTTTTCAGTGTCTGGAATCGATCCTAGCATTTCCGTCCAAGGCATATGATCTGGTCGTTGTTTTGCCAACATTAATTACTGGCAGCATCACGAATTATGTTCGTACGTAGTATACCTTTAAGTGTTTGACAAATTGTTTCGCAGAGGTTTATACGAACGGAGACGACACGTTGGCTGCTGTTGATTCAGTTGAATCCCTCTCTATGAGTAGATTTACTGAAGTTTGCGAACCATTTTTATGGAGTATCAATACATCGAAGTCTTGGATATATCCTACTACCTCATGGAAGATAACAGGTCTTTCCTGACAAATATGATCCAGTTTGATTCTCTGAAAAGGATTGTCCGTGAGAAGCAGAAAACACGCTACGAACTAACTGGTTTGAGGATGATGTTGTATCCTGAGGACGACGTGCTCTCGAGCGATATTCTTCATGCGCTGAGGGTGACGTTAGATTTCCCAGTCTCAGAGAATGTGTACAAAACATATCAACGTATTTGGACGTGAAATACAATTAGCACATTCCTTTTTCCTTTTTTTTTTCCTTTTATTTATTTATTTTTGTGCTTAAGAAGACGCAATGCGATGTTAAATCAAAGTTTTTTTTTTTTTTGCCAACATGAAATCGATTAATTACTAATTTCCGTTTGCCATTTTCTTATTTCTTGTTGATAAACTACTTTAATTTTTAGCACATTGTAGTTAAAATTAACATTTTTTAGTTTAAAAGAAAGTGTTTGGATTTCTGCAAAAGTGCCTTTAAAAGTATTTTTTTACAAATCGAGATAAACTTATCTGCATATTTATTTTATATGTCATAAAATCACTTCTAAAACTATAGTTTGGTTTCTATCCAAACACCCCATAAATATATTATTGTCCTTGGTTGTGCTTTAATTTAATTTAAAAGGCTAAACCGCTAAACTAGTAGAAAATTTATCATGATTGAGGCAAATCTTTTTTAAAAAAAAATATAAGTACTCAAAAATTTCAAAATAAATGTGTAGCATGTAGTAATAAATTTCGATGCAAAACATAATAACAAGTCAATTCTACTCGTGAAATTTAAAATTTTGCAGTAATTTTGTTATTCATAAAGATTTTTTCAGTTCCCTCTTCCTATGACGACTCCGATTAAAACAAGAGGAAAAAAGCCGGATGTTACTTGTAATTCGGACCAAGTTATGCACGATGTTAACAGTAAGAAAAGGATCAGACCGTCATCTCAAATCATCATTGTATTATATTGCAAGTATTTTGAGCAAAAAAAAAGGAAGTGTCGTATCATAAAGGGAGAATTACAATCAAGTCTTATAAAAGAAAAATAATTACCAAAAAGTTCCAATAACAATCTCAACAGCCTATAATAATAAGTCCTATAGTGAGAATGATAATTTTTTAAACTTGTTTTTCAATTGTTTTTCTTGTTTAGGACCTCATTGTAATTCTTTCTTATATAAATCTTGTTCAAAGATTAAATTGAAACAAATGTTCCTTATTTATTTATTTACAATTTGATTCTAATGCTAAGAACCATCGGCTCCCTATTTTTGCTTTCTTAACTAGATCTTTTTCCATTCTTCAGATCTGCGTAGAATTACACGAACGCACATGCGCAATCTCCACCGGAGAAAGAGATTGCTGTGACGGCAACGGAGCACATGCCCGGGCTTGGCTAATTGCAACGCGGGCATGTGCTGATGTGCAAGCGGAACAATAATGGTTTCGTTTTGCCCCCCTGATGGTGGATCCTCCCGTCGCGAAACTGCACCGTGCCGGTAATTGGTTTGGTCCCAAGTGAACTCAAATAAGCACTCGAATAAGGC